TCGTGGGTTTTGCTTCCTGTGGTTTCTATTGCCCTGGGTCAACTGTGTTCTGAAAATATTGTGTAAAATTCCATAAAGAGACGTGAAGTTTTAAATCACACATTGTTCCAAGTGGTAGAAGGATATTCCATGCCTATGGCTCTATCCCACCTGCCCAGTAAATCATCCACGTGTCCTGTGTATCCGTGTTGTGTGCTACTTTGTCATTAGATCCATCCGAGTTAGCAGATCACCTGTCACAGTATTGCTTTGTCTGCATTCAAGTAACTCTTACTCTACTTAAGCTGGCCTCACAGGGCAAGGGGTAGTGAGGCTAGCTATCAGTGAGCTTGCCGGAAGGAAACCAGAAAATATTTTCTTCATATTCAAAGATAAGAGCCCATTCCATGGTCTACATGTGGTGGTCGGAGGACAACTTTGTGGAATTCGTTCTCTTTTTCCACTGTCGTGTGCTTCCCCAGACCGAGCCAGCCCTGGTTAGTTGGAGAAATTTAGCTTTTTGTTTTGTAGGTAATTTTAAAAGCAAGGATAATGTCACCACTTTTTTTTAGAGGTAGCTATTATAGATTCTAGGGCGCATCTGTCGGAATGTAGGGCTCAGTGACTCCTCAAGGGACAGAGCACTAAGAACAAAGCGAAGATGCATTCTCCTTCAGCTACAGTGTGTGACGGTCTCAGTAGGCATGCGTGGTGTTGTAAACAGTGGGAGAAAAACAATGAAAATAAACACAGGAAACTCTTAAACATTTGTATATGTTTCTTCGCATATCTTAGTTTCTTTTGTGTTCCTGAAACGAAACACCCGAAGTTGTATCTTTATAAAAAAAAAGACTGATATTAGGCTTGGCGTCGTGAAGGTCTAGGGGCATGGAGATGGTAGAGACCTCTGGCAACGCAGTGACAGAAAGTGTCCGGAATTAAGGTTGAGGGGAGATGCAAGGTCTTCTTACAAAAGTCCTCCCTTTTTTATTCACGGTTGCTTTTTATTTCATGTGCGTGGGTGTTTGCCTACATGTATGGCGCTTCACCATGTATGCAGTGCCTGTAGAGGCCAGAAGAAGACATCAGATTCCTTGGAACGGGAATTACGGACCGTTGTGAGATGCCGTGTGGGTCCTAGGAACCAAACCCCGGCCCTCTACGAGAGCAGTTGGTGCTCTTAACCATGGAGCCATTTCTCCAGCTCCCTCACAACCGCTCCCTTAGGAATTGACCTGTTCCAGAGACAGCACTGGTCTGCTCATGACACCAGAGGCACTGTAGCCTAATGACCTCGTAGTAGCCTCTATGGCTTGAAGTTGCACCAACTCACCCTACCATACTAGGAGCCAAATTTCTATCATGTGAACCTTTGAGGGATAAGCCAAACAACTAGTGTTTTGGCTAAGGAAGAGATAAACTTTGAATCTGGGCTGAGCTGAACCCCTATTAGTGATGGACCAACAGAAGCCTGGCAATGAAATGAATGGAACAGATCTGTCCACCAGAAATACCAGACATGGGAGGATGCCACAGAATAGCCGGGCTATTCATATGGAGCAATTAAAGGGCATCTGGATCCTGGCTTCTCAGAGCATGGTCTAGGGACCTAAGAGCTTATTAGTTTTCTCTCTGGCATTAGAGGATGTTGCACAATGGCCTTCCAGGACCTGCTGTTCTCTGTCTTTGTGTTTTCTCCCTTCTGGTTCATTCTTGGGCCTGCCATAGTGCAGACTGCATGGCTTAAAACAATAGCAGTGTGTTTGCCACAGTTCTACCGTGAGTCGGAAATCAAGGTGTTAACCTGGCTGTGCTTCCCTGAAGGCTTGAGGGGAGGCTCCGTCCTTGCTACTTCTGGATTCTGGAAGCATTCGTTGGTTTTGGGGGAAGGTCCACCTGGTCTCTGTTGCTGCCTTCATGTGGCTGTCTTCTCTCCACGTCTGTGCCCATAGTTCCTTCTTGGTGTGTGTCTTTGTCTTCGGTTCCCTCTTAGAATGGCATCAGCTTCCAGTGAGACTCTGGTGAGGACATTTTCACCAGTAAAAAAAAAAAAAGTATATAGCTTTGATGTTCTAAAATGGCTTATTTAATACAGGCTGTTGATTAATACTGAATTTACACGGGATGAAGTGGCACACACCTTTAATCCCAGCATCCAGGAGGCAGAGACATGCCAATCTCTGTAAGTTAGAGGCCAGTCTGGTCTACAAATCGAGTTCCAGGGCAGCCAGGGCTACATAGAGCGACCCTGTCTCAAAAATAACAACAAAATGAACTCACAGCCAAGCATATAAATACAACACTGATATGACTCGTGCCTGCATCTCAGAGTAAGTTTTTCTGGCTACATTTATTTTCCCCACAAGGCACAGCACAGACTCTGTGTGCCCGTGTGTGTGCGCGCACACATGCTTAGAAATACAACACAGTACTTTAGCACTGCTTTGGGGACATTTTAAATGACAGCACAGAATAATTTAACATGTCATACTAGATAGACGGTGGAGAAGACTGTGGTTTGTGATAGGAGAGGGGCAGAAAGAACCTGGAGTGTTGCTTTGTTTGACCTCAAGTGGCTGCATCCATACCGGGCATCTTGCATTTCCCCCTTTGGCACAGATCCGCAATGATCAGGAAAGCACTGTAAAGATGGGTTTTCCAATTACAAATACATTTTTAGTAAGATAATTCTCACGTGAAGAACTTCGAAATAATGTGCACCGGCTCTACAAACAGGTTATTTATGAATGGAAATGGAAGGAGCCATACTGCAGATATTTTGCACTGGAAGCAGGGCTGCTCAGGTGTGTGTCTTGCACTGCCCTGCCACTGAGTTTAGGCACGCCAGCACTTCTGTTACCACATCAGAAGAATCTGCTTCTACCTATTCATGACTCCCGTGACTGCCCCTAATTTTGCTATTCTGTCCCCGCTTCACATCTTGAGGTCTTCTTCTGAGGGGGGATTTGAGTAGGTTGCGGTCACCACTTGGCAGGGCACAGCCTTTATGGTGGCGGCAGCGTGCGTAGCTTTCCCCAGTGTTTCCCTTTGGTAACTCCGTGCACGTGTACACGGGGTTCTTCATGTCTCTAGTTCCCTTCTTTACCGAGTCCCGAGTCCTTTAAGAATCAAGACGTCAGTGAGTGTTTTACCATATCCAACCCCCAGACTCTCAATTTCAATCAGAGATCTTGGAATGGATGGATGATGAATGAATGAGTCAGTGAGTGAATGAATGCATGGCGGGAGCAATTTGGGATTCATGAAGAGCAGCTGCATTGGTGACTGCTCCTCACCATCAAGTGCCCTTTCGTGAGGTCTCTAAGGTCCCCATCACTGTCTCAAAGAACAGCCACCTGGAGCCCGCAGATGTTGCGCGAGGCCACAGTTCCGTAGCAGCTTTCCTTGGCTTGCTTAGCGCTTGTGTGGTCCTTGTGGCGAACACTGTAAAGCCAAGGCAGAACCTGGCTTTGCAGAATTACACATTTTACTCGAAGGAGTGGAGTTCATCCTCTCAGAGAGTTCACGGTTGGCATGGGAAGCGAGACTGTGCGCAGCTGAAGAGTTTATAGGCACAATAAGAGAGGAGATGAAAGCCAGGACTTACACAGCTGCCCTAAAGCGATGTCTGCCGCTCAGATAATCAGAGTAAGATCTGTGGGTGGTGGAGGAGTTGGAGGAGGAAGAGTGGCTTCAGGCTGGAGTGATCTGGAATGACCTTTTCTGGAGAAGGAGTTGTTGAGCTTAGGTCTTGGAAGACGCAGAAAGATTGACAAGGCCAAGGAGGAAGGGAGAGTTTGGTGTGAGCCAGAGGCACAGTGGCCTTGAGCTTTGGGAGGGATGCAGAGAATAGATGGGTGGTTCCCATGTACAAAGGTGATTCACATAATGGTGCTTGTTCTCTTGGCACGAGCTGGGGACAGGGCATAGGGGAGAGCTTGGCAAGACAGAGGGGAGAATATGAGGCTTGTATCATCTTGGCCCACATTCATCTGTATGGACTTCTCAGTTAAGTTTGGAGGAAAAGAGTGAAAGAAATGAGAGGGCTCCAGGTTGGAAAGAGGACCGTACTGTCACGTTGCCTGTGAAGTCTTTAGAGTGGAAGCCCAAGTCGGCGCCATCTTTGCTTTCAGGTGTCAGGTTGAATGGAAATTTACAGACATAAGCACCACGAAGACGCAGGGGTGGAAAGTTGGAAGTGACTTTATCCGTGGTCCCATGGTAGCTGGGTTTGGGTGGGAAAAGGACAGACTACCATAGGAGGAGTCTGGTAGGAGTGGAGAGAGGCATTGCGTGGCCTGGTGGGGGACGGATATGCCAACCATGCAAGTGTTTTTCAAAGGGAGAGCAGTGAGCAAAGGGCAAAGGCGCGCGGCTGAGCCAGAGCTGGGAGGCTGGCGTTGAAGAAGAATGCTGGGTGGGGTGGCTAAGAGATGGCGCTGGGGTAGATGGAGAAGCGAAGATGAGAACAGGGCGAGGGGCCTGTGATCTCTGTGATCACGGTGATCTAGTCGGTAACAAACCTTTAGTGAAACCAAATTGGCGAGTGCGTTAATGCCAGTATCGAGAGGTCAATTGTTTATACATCCTAGATCCTCCAAGGGATGTGTCGGTTACCATAGTTTGCCTCAGAACTGTTGGCCTGGCGTTTGCTTGGCGTAAGGTGAAATACTGGTCCTTGAATGTCTGATCTGTTGCCAGTTATGCTGCACGACCAGCTTAGAGAGGATGAGGGTGGGGAAAGCTTGGGTTGAGGCAAAGGCACTAAGAGGCATCTGGGCCTCCCGCTAGCTGGACATGTGGCACACCATGCCCATAAAAACTCTCTTCTGCCGAGAATCAGCATAGAGACGGTCAGGCCTGGTCCATTTTGCCACCCACTGAAAGATCAGGTGAAGGAGCAGGTGGCAGGAGAGCTACCAACTCCTCCTAGGAAAGGATCATGCCAGGGGTGTAGAAGGTCGTGGTGCAGATAGGATAGCTGCAGAAATACCCATTGCTCTGCTTTTCTTCCGCCACAGGGTACCATGCCGGTGGAAAGGATGCGAATGCGCCCATGGCTGGAGGAACAGATAAATTCAAATACAATACCGGGGCTAAAGTGGCTGAATAAGGTAGGTATGTTGGGTGTGTGTGTGTGTGTATGTGTGTGTGTGTGTGTGTGTGTGTGTGTGTGTGTGTGTATGTATGTGCATTGTTGGGGGAATGAGAGACAGAGAGAAGAGGAGAGGAGAGGAGAAGAGAAGGGGGAAAGGAAGGGAAGGAGACATTACTTGTTGAAAGTGCCCACGGGACCACCAGTAAAGTTGTGTTCTGAATCTTTTGCTCATTCATACAGGAAACACCCAGCTAACAATGATCACAAAACATGAATTTTTCATGTCAAAAAGGTTTTGGTCACGTTTCTGAAATAAAGTGGGCTACAGAGAAGGGGTGAATTTAGGGAGGAGGAGGGATGGAATCCAGGTGATGGACACACTAGTCATGAAGGAGGATATAAAGATAATTGTTTTCCTGGTTTCCATTGATATTATCTTTTTTATGGTGGATAAGTACATGAAAATACAATGGATGGGGAAAGATAAAATCCACCATGAAGCCCCACAGTTTCAGCACGGCTGCTCTCAGCGTTCAGAAGCTCATGGAGATGTATAGACTTTGGGTCTGGCTAATCTCCCGGCATGATGCTTTTCTCTTGCAAGTTCTTTATGGTAAAATTTAACCATTAAATTTTTTTTTTTTTGGTTGTTGTTGTTTTAATTTATCATCTTCTCAGACTGTCACCTCAACCCGAGTACCAGTTGTAGCCTTTGCTTTTCAGGTGACTTTGTGAAGCTCCATTTGTGGTTTCTCCCCACCCTTGCCCTTCCTCCCCTTCCTCAGGTGCCCTCTTCACTGCTCCAAGGGCTCAGGCACTAAAGGACAAAGGGGCTTCACGGTGGTGTTTGTTTTTGTCTGACTGGAGGATCCTAACCTTTGAAAGATTCTTTATTTCAAGAACTTTTGCTTTTTCCTTAAAAACAAAACAAAACAGTACTGTCATGCTGGGTGTGGTGTTGCTTACCTTTATTTCCAGAACTTGGGAGGCAAAAGCAGCCTGGTGAGGATCTCTGAGTCTGAGGCCAGTCTGGTTGACAGGGTGAGTTCTAGGCCAGCCTGGATACACAGCAAGACTCGGTCCAGAAAATAGACACAAAAGTACTGTCACGACATGAAACTCCATTTGTATGTCCACTTAGCCTAAATAAGTAGTTATAAATCATTTGCATTTCCCCAAATATGCACACATACGTGCACACACACACACACACACATGCATATGCACGCACACACGTGCACACTTACTTTGTTAACCGCAGCACTCTCAACTTACCTAGCTATTAGAGGTAAATCGAGGAGAGATAATGTGGGCAATTTTGCTTTAATCTAAAAATGCACGCTTACAGACTAGAGCAGTGGTTCTCCCGCTTCTGAACGCTGTGACCCTTTATTTCAGCCTCTTACATTGTGGGACCCCCTACCATAAAATTAGTTTCATTGGTACTTCATAGCTATGATTTTCTACTGTTATGAATGATAATATAAATATCCGCTATACAGGCTATCTGTGGAGTGACTTCTGTGAAAGGGTCATTCAACCCCAAAGGGGCCACAATCCCACAGGCTGAAAAATACTGGTTCAGAGTAACAGCTCCATAGAACACATTATGCCTTCTCTAAAGAGCCCCAAGGGAGGATTTTTTTCCTCCTTCCACCAAGAACACCAACAATTCTGAGCACACGTCTCTTTCTTCTTTTCTGCCCTATTCCTCTTGTCTTCTAATCTTGAGGACATGGTGAATGAATTAATGAGTCAGGCTTTGTTTTCCCACCAGGTGTAAGGGCTTAAAGCCAGAGAGAGACCGTGGCCTGCTTTTAATGAGTGAAAAAGATACTGTGAAGTAATTAAAAAAAAAAACACCAAAATGTCTGATTTCATTTTATCTTTTTAGGTCCCGCTGAAATTTTATTCTTCCTCTTGCCCATTTATTTTGAATTTAGTATGACTGTAGTTGGCTATCTGCTTGAGTCTTTTCTGAAATAAGGTGGACCACAGAGGAAATAGAAATAAATAAACCTCTTACTGGCCACACTTGTTCTGTCAGGTACTGGAACGTTTGTGGTAAGCAATACATTTTTTTTCCCCCAAGCTTGCAATATCTATAGTTAGTTGAGGTTTAGGTATATAGTTAGTCTCTTCTAAAAATACAAACAAGAACTCAGGTCACCCTTGATTGCTCAGCGAACAGCAGTACAGACATGGGTGAAAAGAAAGATGTGGTAATTCAGAGACAGTATGGGGAGATGTAGAGGAACAGACAACAGCAATGGCAGCTGACTTTTGCTAAGTATTTTGTGCTGCTTCCTCTGTTGAGCAAAGAGTTGCATGCATCAACTCACTTAATCCCTACTCTGGGAAAAGGCTGTTGTTTTTCATGTTGTAGACCAGGAAACTGAGGTGCAGAGAGGTAAGCGGGACTCGTTTGGACTCCTGGCGTGAGATTGAAGTGTTTCTCGGTTCTCAAAAAAAAAAAAAAAAAAGCAACTGATCTCTTTCTGCTATTTCTTTTTCTCACCTGAGTTTTCTATTCTCACTTTTGGTTTGTCCTGAACCACATCTGTATGTAGAGAACATGGTTTATCATTGTTCCTTTTTTTGTCAAGTAGCCACTGACAACCTGTAGTTCGGTGTTCGCTGCAAGAGGTTGACCAGTAGTCTGTACCTTCAAAGCCCCATTTCAACCTCTAGAACTTGGGAATTGAGCTTTTAGATGCAGTAAGGACTTCAAGATGAGAACATGTGGACTATCTGCCTGGGCCCTAAATTCAAGGGCAGGCATCTTTAGAAGACACGAAAGAACACACCCACACAGAGGAAAAGCTTTGTGAAGACAGAGGGGGTGCAATCAAGCCACAGGCAAAGGGACTTCTAGGTCTAGCAGAAGCTGCAAGAGAGAGGAAAGACTCTTCTAGAAGTTTTGAAAAACATTGAAAGCCTGCCAACACCTTAATTTTGGATTTCTGACTTTTAGAACTGTAATAGAATGTATTTCCACTATAAACCACCCAGGGTTTGGTCATTTTTTTTTTTTTAATAATAGCCCTAGGAAAAAAGTCTGCCTATCAGTACTTCCTCCTCTGTGGAGACACCTTTCCACTGCCCATCACCACAGTGGTGGTGCTAAAAAGGCCATGTGCTGTGAACTCTGCCTTGTTCCTATTTTTTTCTGCTCTAGGGCCAGAGATAATAATTTCTCATTGTATAACCAAACCCTTAGCATGCTCAGGGGACCCTCCCTGTTAGGCTCCCTTCTCTGTCTCTTGGCACCACAATTCTCTTCCTAAAGAAGAGGAGGGAAGGAAACCTCCTTGTCATCTTACGGGTGCTTTTGCTAGGACTGGACCTGAGGCCATCTGGCTGAAAGGAGCCTGTCACTGGCTCTAGCTACCTGAGTTTCTCAGAATAGCGTTGGCACAGGAGTGCCTCGGCTGCTGAGGGTCTGAGGGTCCCTGTTAGGCAGGTCACCCACAAGGGCTAGAGTACAGCATCTGTGTGTCTGGGCACATGGACAAAACAGGCCTGAGATGGGTCAGGGTATTTTCTGTCCATACCTAAACTCCCACAGGGATCTTTTTTATAGGTTTTCTCTAACTTAAGCTTGTTGGCACTCATCTGTCACCGAGAGCCTGTTGTTTTTCCCTCACAAGCACTTCCAGAACCCTCTTGGTAGTCTGAGTGGTTTGAGGCCATTCCAAAATTTATTTCCTGTTGAAGATTGTTGGGATTCTAGGTAAAGAAATGTACTAGCCCCAAGACTTTGGGTCCAACTTGTTAAAAGCATACAAACAAACACACAAAAATCTAGAAGCTTCTTTAAGGAACTAGGATACTCCTATCAGACCTGACCTACTTCCCAAAACAGCACTAACCCATTTGCAAGGGCAGAACCTATGATCTAATTATTCTCCACTGGACCCCCCGTCACTTAAAGGTTCTATCATCTCAACCTATTCACACTGCAGACCAAGACAGCCTTGCAAGAAACACTCAAGCCACATCCAAACCATAGCAGTTGATACTCAGAATGCATTTTTACCAATGCCTGGAAGCTGTCAATACAGGGCACAGTTGTCCTGATGGTTACTCTATAAAGAGTGCCAGACCCAGTGCCTGACCAAGTAGGAGGCTCTCTATAGAGGGGCTTGTGAGCCTGTGAACAAAGGTAATAGGCCCAAATTCATGGGATTGGCTACTCTCGTGTCTGCCTCCAACGAAGAGTCCAGCCTCGGTAGGATGTTCTTAGACAGACACAAGTAGGTGATTAAGTCTTAATTTGTTTCCATTTCCCACTCCTAATAAAATTGAAGGATATCTGTCATATAGCGGGGTCCAACGGCAGTGGAAGAGTCTAGACGTGAACTTCTAGGATGTTGCCAAAGCAGCATCTGCATCACTTGTACATGAGGCCCTGGAAGGACCATCTACTTCTTACGACAGTGTTTGCAGATGACATAGTCTGACCGAATCATATGTCGAGAAGGAATAGGAGGCCAAATTCTCATATGCCCGTATCTGGATTTCTTGCTTCTTGCTTTATCTTTCCTGTGTGTATGTGTGTATGTGTGTGTGTGTGGGGGGGGTATCTTAAAGCCATTGGATGATGGTGTTCATCTGTAAGATTTAGGGTATTTTCTTACCTCTCTACTATATCATTGTAAATTGAACAAAGTAAATTGTAGTTTTTCTAGTATCGCTGTCCCACTTATATTCAGATGCCTTGTGTACTCCCAAGATAACTTTTAAAAATAAGTTATTTTTTGAGATTATAAATATAATTACATCACTTCCTCCTTTTATGCCCTCCCATTTACCACCCCCCCCTCTCTTTTAAATTTGTAGCCCTTTTTTATTCAATTGTTTTTTATATGTCTATTCTTAAACACAAAATTTTGACCTGCTTAGTCAGTATGTTACATGTATGTATGTTTTCAGGATCGACCGTTTGGATGACCGGTTAAATAACTGGTCGGTGTGCTCCTCCCTGGGGAAGACAATTTCTCTCGTTCTCAGCAT